TTATACTGTGCCTATTATGACGGCATGTTTGTTTTTGTGACGTAATACATCGACCGGGTATAGATTTACAACTGACCGGGTAAAAAAAATCCACCGCCTTCACGTGACAGACTTCAACCAATCGTAAGTCAGGATTTCACGAAAAAATCGACAGAGGTGGGGTAAAAGTTATACCCTTTCTTCACGTGACAGACTTCAACCAATCGTAAGCCAGGATTTCATGGAAAAATCAACAGAGGTGGGGTAATGAAGTATATTGCTTAGGTCATGTGCGCTCGGCTTGAGCCAGCCTTTCCTTGTGGGAGACACAGCAAACCTGGGGGCCCTGCCACTATGGGATTTAGATCAAGCCGCTTAAGTGAGGGTGTACACTACACCCTCAACCCCGCCCTTCCACCCTATACACCATTTAAGGATCGACAGTCTGAGATGCCCGTGTGGCCTGAACCTCTCACTTACAAATGCGATTGGATGCCCGAGATGCGCATGAGGCCTGCACAACTCACCTACAAATATGACCAAAAGTCTCAGAGGCCTATGAGGCCTGAAACATTTCCCCCCCCCCCCCGAGTTTGATCGTGGGCCTGTTCATCCCACAGAGCTCACCTGGAACCCTGTGCCTGCACAAACTCAGCCTTAACTTGCAGACTTTAGTGCGCCCTTTCTCCCTGGGGATGATTTGCGACCCCGGAGCTCCATGTCACAATCGCCGGAGCTTTTTTCGGCTGAGGAGGAAGAGGCACCCTTGAACGTGGAAGTGGGGATGCTTGTGCCCCCCACTCAACGTCAGAGCCTCTTGGACCATTCCAGAAAAGGAAAGGAAAGTTAAGGGATCTTGGGAGAAACAACGCAGATAATTCTAATCCAGAGACCAGTGGATGAGGGGGTAGAGCCGACTGTACCCACAGGACAGTTGCGCCCATCTACAGGTTTTTCAGTTAGCCTACTTGTTCAAGGCTTGCGGGTAAGTGCCGTGGTGGATACGGGGGCGGAGGTTAGTGTTCTGTCGACGAGCCTCCATCCTGAGACATGTAACTATGCAGCAGGCTGGTAAAAACACCAAGCTCAAAGGTTTCATGGTGGGGCCCGTGGCTTTAACTTAGGGAGTCAGACTCACGAGGTTGACCTTTATATAGCCCCCCCCCCCTTGCACGATCCGATGTTGCTGGGCCTGGGGTTTCTTCATACCCGGAAGGCCTGTTTTAGATTTAGAACTTGGGACCTTGACCTTGGGAGGGGAGGCCATTAAGATAAATTTCGGCTGCGCTGAAGAAGTTCCGGAGGCCAGAGTGACCTTGGCCCGAAAGGTGCGGGTCCCGGCTGGTTCTGTTGTTTTATGTCCCAGTCATCTGGATCAAAAGCTGAGTGATTGATTTGCAGTCGGATGTAATTCTTATGTCCCATACATATCATGAGGGAGGGGACAGTGCAGTAGTTTGTGTAGTGAACGCTTCGGATCAAGACGTGACCTTGACTGAGGGCAGCCATATAGGTATGGCGGTGGAGGCTGATCCACATCAGCCGGTGCCTTACTTGGTGAGAACTGTGGCTAGCCAAGATGTAGGGGATCTGGGGGTAGCAGCCCCCACCCATGAGGTGCCTGAATTCTCACAGAACTTACAAAAGCGCTCCTTTGTAGAACTCAGATCAGATGAGAGGGCTATGTTAGCTAATCTGCTAACAGAATTTCAGGATGTCTTTGCTCGGAGTGAGTTTGACTTCGGGAAATTCTCCGCACTAAAGCACGAAATATATACTGGAAACGCAACCCCTGTGAAGGAGCGGATGAGACGCACCCCTATGTTCTTTGCTGGTGAAGAGGAATTCCACCTCGAGAAAATGCCAGAGGCCGGAGTGATACAGCCCTCTTTGTCTCAGCGGGCCTCCGCCCCAATCCTGATTAGAAAAAAAAGACGGCCATGTAAGATGGTGTTTGGACCATGGCAGCTTAATGACTCGGAAGGACGTACCGTATTCCTCCTACCCCTGACAGACGAATGCTTGAACACCCTTACAGGGAATGTGTGGTTCTCTAACCTGGACGCCAATTCGGCTTTTCACCAGATGAATATCCGCCCCAGGACGGGACTGCCTTTCTGACTAAGTGTGGTCTGTTCAAGTTTGTGCTCATGGGGTTTGGCCTATGTAATGCCCCGGCTACCTTCTCCAGGGCGATGAACCTTGTATTCAGAGGCCTTACTTGGAATATTGTTCTGGCCTTCTTAGACGATGCACCAGTTTTAGACTTCCATGATCACCTCGAGAACTTGCGTGTTCGCTACGAGTGTTGGTAAAACTAGGTCAACAAACCTGAGCCGGGGTTATTTAAGATTTTTCAATTCTCTGCCTTAATACTTTATCAATCGAATATCTCAAGGCCGAATCCGATCACACGATCCAATGATGGAAACTCCATATAATATTTATTTTCTCTGGGCACACAGGAATAGCGGCCTCTTTTTTTCAGACATAACTTTACATACCGGTACTTTACTGAATATTTTCATTAAAAGTCCGACCCACTTTTTGTAAGGGTAAGGGTCAAATAAGGTTAATGTAGTATAGTACATTTAAATTTGATACTATAGAAGAAGTTGAATCTAACCCAAAACCCACCCCGCCCCCTTAATATGATTTCATTGGCGTCGGAAGCAAAGTGAAAGTTGGGGCCGGGGGGGGCTAAGCGTAAGAAATATTTTTTAGACCTTCAAAAAAAAAAAAAAAAAACATGACAAGCAAAAAAAAAAAAAAAAAGGGAGAGAAATGTCCACTGTCCAAACACAAAAATCCTATTTCGTGTGTGTGTGGTGGTGATAGGGGATCAAATTACAGTGCGAATTTTTTTTTTCTTCAAAACACCACCACTTTCCACATTTTAAACCTATACTGCATCGTGTCCATGGAAAGTGGGGGGGGGGGGGGCTAAACCTACGCAGTAATGTTCAATGTCTATACTAAGTTTAACTTTGGGAAAAAGTGGGGGCTAAGCCCTCTCCCCGGTTCCGATCGACGCCTATGTATTTTCAAGTTTGGAAATTTCCTTGTTTTTTCTTTTTTTTTTTTTTTTTTTTTTTTTTTTTTTTTTTTTTTTTTTTGCTTGTCAAGTTGTTTTCAGCGGATAGCTTGAATTTTCAAAATCGGTGCTACGTCACTGTTCTCTCGCCTGAAAAATATCACTCTACGAAAGTTATTTGTTGGATAATTGAATTCCAGTATAACAGTTTAATTGACATAAAAATGTTAAATATTTTAATACTAGATACCCCTTTATAAATTTATAAATTGAGTTGTTTTTCAGGACGTTCCCAGACGTGGATCTAGGAAATGAAGTTAGATGGGGCGCCAAAAGTAGGCAAGGGGTCTGGGGGCCGCCTTGAGGCCCCCAGTGGGTCAAGGGCAAAGCCCTGGTGGGGGCTCAGGAGGCGAAGCCCCCGAAAGCTCCTGGGTTCTAGAGATTTTGTAGAGTAAAAATGAGGTCTACCAAGTAGGCATATTTACATTTTCTAGACGAAACTGTGATTTATGTTTACTTTGACAATTTTAGGGGGGGGGGGGGGGCGCCCCCTCCTTAAATCCGTCACTGGTTCCACTTAAATGAACTTTATTTCACGACAGATAGTAATTGCTCATGCGTGTGATTGTAGGGACGGGGCTTTGCAAAGGAGTGAGGAGTGTTATGGGTAGGCAAAGTCGGAACCAGGGAACACCTTAGGCATACTAGAAACTCCCCCGTCTTTTTTATGCATTAATATTTTACATTGAAATAGCACTTTTTAATAAAGAAAAAAATATCTATAGAACGCAACGTATTTTACATCAGCCAGTAGAGTAAAAAAAAATCTTAAAACTTGAAAATTCTGTATTAGGTGGTGGTGGTGGGGGGGGGGGGGTCGTCAACTTGTTTTCAGTACCAAATATTACTCATATGTACATATGCCACTAAGTACATGACTATTAATATATTAATTGACTACAATGCATAGGCGTCGGAACCGGGGGCAGACGCCGTAACCACAGTGCCACGGGGGCGATTGCACCCGGGGGGAGGGGCATCCACGGGACCGGGGGGGGGGGGGCGGAATTCATTATCCATTTGTACTCGTGAAGATTATCTATGTCAAACTAAATGGTTAAAATGATTTAATTATTAACCACTATTAAAATGGTTTCATTTAAACATTTATTCATATACATGTAGGACGGATAACTTTTCTTCAAAAACTGAAAACGTTAGCATATAAACATTGTTTTATGATTAAAAAAATATTCGGGGGAGGGGTGGCTATGAAGGGGGACGAATTGCTATATACAGCTAGATTTCCCACGGAAGACTAGCTATATATTGAAACTTCCCTGGGAGGAGTCTCACTGTATAGTCTTCCGAAGGAAGCATCACTTTGTAGTCAGTCTTCCAGGGAAAATCTTACCATCTTCCGAGGAAATGGCATTATCGGGTACATACCTGAACTTATAACAAACATCATGAAATTTAAGTTCGATTGATAAAGTATTAAGGCAGAAAATTGAAAAATCTTTAATAACCCCGGCCCTGGTTTGCTTACCTATTTTTACCAACACTCGTATAGCGAACACCCTGCCACCTAGCGTTATAATGCGGCACTAAATTCAGACAACTTGCATTCGTCTTCATTGAATTTAGTGCCGCATTATAACGCTAGGTGGCATTGTTTACATGATTGAATTTACGTTCGTAATCGAGATAATCAAGATAGTTTATTTAAGAAACAGTTTCAAATTAAAAGAAAGTAGAATGTATTCACAAGAATAAAGCAACATAGAAGTAAGGACAAAATAAAGAACGATAAAAGCTCAAGTATAATGTAATAAAGACGAATACGAAAACAATAAAGTGGCATATAATTACAATAATAACAAAGCATAAAGAAGTAGGCAGAATAAGAATAAAAGCAAGATACATAGACTTTTGGCGGTAATTCCCTTCCATACAATCTATGCATTTTGTACCATGCATTATAGCAAATAAATATTTGAGTATATTACGTACTGGAAATGTTCCTTGATATATAAAACAATATATCAAAAACGAAGTACATAAGACAATTATCAATTCATACTTTAAAATACATACGGTATTTATTTGATAATTGATTTCCCATGTCGTTATGTGTATGTACAGCATCCATACGATTCAAAAACATGTCAACCTACATGTATCTAGTATTCAAAAACATGTCAACCTACACGTATCTAGGACATAAGAATTTCGTTTATCGCATGCAGTATATTCAAATGAACATCTTCGTCTAAATTAATAGTGACCCTTGCATCTACTTCGGAGCAGATGTAAACTGCTGCACTTGCTGGTACAATTGCCTTTCTCCGTCTTAAAAGTTTATATCTAAGAGGATTCTGCTTTGTATTGTCATAATACAGTCCAGTTATGACATCAGTACCAGCTGGTAACGTCGAGCCCCACGAATCAGTTTTGTCGCTGTCCAGTGTATGGGCAGGTTCTTGGACTTTTAACAAGAAATAGTCTTGATGTGGGTCATCTGCGTACACAGCAATAACCTGGCCCTTAGAAACAAGTTTTGCCATGGATCCCTGGTCATCATCCTGATCGACATCGGTTGTGGTGTCAGTTTCCTGTATCATTTTAATAGTTAGAAAATGCCCAGCTGCTGGAACATTTAAGCATTCATCATAGGAATGCGAATCGCATTTATCACAGAAACAGGACAGTTCGCGGATTGTTATTTCGTCGTCGGAGTCTCGAACAATAACTTGATGAACAGACCTGATGTTAGGTACTGACTTAAATCGCAAGTTGTCATCTCTTGGAATGCAATCCATAAAACGAAAGATTCTACGTCGGCACACGGACTTTGTCATGGTCAAATTAGAAACTGCAAAGTCGTACAGGTCCTGTGCATTTTGTATAAGTGCCTGTCCTCTCAAAACCGCCATGTCTGCTTGCCTTTTAAGAAGCCCCCCTGCAGCATCTTGAGGCCCTGTAATGTAAAAATTTGTATAAATTTAAAAATACAATTAAGCTTACATGTATACTGTATGTACCGGGCATACAAATATTTAAATTGCGCCTTTTTAAAAAATCTGAACTCAATTAAACGACGAATGCGAATTTAACCCTGATGTCACAGAAGCTATGTGAATTTCTTACAAAAACATTCCTTCAACGATTAAGAGGTTTGAAAGGTATTTATAGACCTAGAGCAGACTGGTCACATGTCCTAATTGTATTCACCAAATTTTAGCTTCTTTTACTCAACATTCAACTTTAGTGTAACTGAGAAGATTTTTGTGAAATATTTGTTTTGTTACATGTAACTATAAAAATTTATTCGTGAGAAATCGAGTTGAAGTAAACTTCTTCACCTTTAGCATGAGCTGTCTCAAAGAAATTTCGGGTAAAATGCTTGAACCCAAAATCCTGACAGGAGTTACTGATGTCACCAAAGCAATGTCGACTTTTATACTGGGCTGCACACCCGTCAGTAAACTCATGCATGGTCTCCGTGGGATATGAGATGGATGACAGATATTCAGATATACTTTTCCGCACAGCGTGGACAAAATACTGGTCGTGCTGTTGATCATTACTTATAACAAAAAAGTGTTCAGTGATAATCTCCGGATTCTCTTCGGAACTTTCTATACCATCTACGTCAAGAAGTGCATGGCGATGTATAATAGAAACATGAATTGAGACTTCTGTCCTCTGAAAGTACGAGCTTTGTAGTTGCTTTAGTCCGGTGCACCGGTAATTTTCAGAAAAGTCATGCACACAGACGCAGTGATTTAGCGGAAGATTAGAAACAAGACTGTGAAATTGGCTGTATTGCCAAGTTGCCCGATGCTGATGCAATGGAAACGATTTTAATAGCTGCTTCAAATGTGCAAATAGTTCACTAACTTTTGTTTCCTTTTTAACTAAAACAAGCTTCTTGATCAATTTGTTGCCTTTAACTTTTATGTCCACCTTCTCAAATCTTTCCCACTTAACTGTTTCGTCAATTTCAGCCTCTCCAGTTTCCTCGGGGAGTAGGTGTAACTTTTCTATACCACAATCAGCACAAATCCGCTTTAGACATTTTAAGTCTTGGTTAGAACACAGTGTGGCATCTACTAAATCGCTTATGGACTCGAATAATGGGACATCGTTTCCAATGGAACTCCCGTTTGAATTTAAAATCTTTTTTTCGAAAGTTCATGCAGGATTTAAAGGCACTCTTTATTTCTATATGGTATCTACAACAACATGTATGCCTGTCCTTTGACCGGGCCTGTCTGACGAAAAATGGCTTGCAGTTTTCAAATGACCTTTGAGACATTTTAATTTCCGGATTTTCGGAAATAGAATCAAGGTAAACTTCAGTTTGAGTTTTTTCAAGGATATGCACTGGATGACTTGTGTAGGTTTTTGGTCCTAATCTTTCTCGTTTGATATCGGGCTTATTTCCTGTTGGTCGGGACACACCTGGACGTAGCCAAAAGTCGTACGCAAGTCGTTTTGTTTCATTTGGAAGTGCATCAGATCGTGTTTTTCTAGATGTATAAGTCCAACAGGATTTTTCCGATTTCAACACAGTTGTTCGAATTCTGTTCCCTTTACTTATGCGTCGAATTGGTAATCCAAGAGTTTTGGCAAGATTTTTTCGGCATCTGCTCATGGTCACTTGTTCCCCACTGACAGACGCAGTGAGTACATTCATCGATGCGACAGAATCCTTTGATCTTTTCATCTTGCAACTATCAATTGTTGCTTTTAAATCTCTCAGTACGGCTTTTTCTGTTGATTTTTCATTTTGTTCTTCGGGTGATGATATCACATCAGCGTTTTTTAGAATTTCTGTTGTAGGTGATTTCGTATTTTTCAAATATGCCGCAAGAGTAGCTGACCTCTTTTTTGGAGTATGGGGTAAAGCATCTTTCAAATTTTTTAACGCCCTGTGCTTGCTTGTCCTGTTGTTAAACACAGATTTCCACACATTAGAAGCATTTTCTGGGGTCGCAGAGACACGAACACTTTTATCCTTTAATGATTTTCTATATTTTCTCTTTCTTTCAGCTTCCTTTTCTCTAAATTCGACTCGTCTTGCCCTATAGAGACGTTTTCTTATTGCCTCTGCAGTTTGTTTATATTTAGTCTCATTGGAAGTTTTGTTTCTGTGGTAGGATGTTAGCTTTTGTTGACGACGTTTCTGGAGTTTTTTATCTCTATAAAATTGTATTCTTTCTTTGGGAGACATATTCGTACCCATGCTCTCATCCACTTTCTGAAAAGGGAAATAAAGTGAAAAACCTTGATGAATATGTTATTAATTTTTTTTATCGCTATGCGGATGTGTAGTGATTTCAATGAAAGACTTTATTCGATTTTCAATTTTAGAAACTTTGGAATTGGATTGGTTTCTGATTTTCATGACCATCATTAGCACTACTACAGCATGAATTCAAATAATAATAACTTTAAAAAAATGATTTTAATTCTAGGGAGGGGGTTGGCATAGGAATTCTTTGACAATGAAAAAAGATGGACATTGCACTTTTTATATACTAGGGGCACAACAAATATGTAGCATTGTACATGTTTTTTTTTATTAATTATATACATGTATTTTTTATTTTACATGTCAGTTGCAATTTTTTCCCCAGACAAGACCTTCTAGATCGATATTATACATGTAGGTGCCTACTAAGTGTCCCCCTTTTTTATTGTAAATTATTTCAAATTATGTCTTAAAATAAGGGGAAGAGGAGATGATTTCCTTTGAAAAGCACAAATGTGGCATTTTAAATATTCCTTGTATCCGCGGTCACAATATGTTTCACAAAGGCCTGACAAATATATTTTTAAAGCACTTGTCCAAATGCAAGTCATGGGCGTCGGAAGCAAATTGAAAAGGGGGAGGGTAAACCAACAGAAAAAGGTAAACCCAAATTTTCAATGGCCTATACATTGTCTAATTTTGCATAAAAAAATAAAAAAGTGGGGGCGGGGGGCTAAGCTCCACTAGCCCCCCCCCCCCGCTCCGACGCCTATGCAAGTACATGTACATGTTTAAAATTCACTTGCCCTACCTAAACTTTTGATTGCCCTTCCATAAATTAATACTGTATTTATAAATATTTAAAAAAAAAAAAGAGGAAGACAAATACTGAGTAGATCATGCAAACCCAGGGCCATGCTTAGTTTTAAATCTATGGCTTTAAATTTGATTTTATTTTTGACAAGTCACTTTCCCGTGGTTGATAAAATTTCACTTGCCCGCTCCTAAAACTCAATAGACCCTGGCGTCGGGCAAAAGGATTTGTCACCCCCTGCTCACTCTGCGAGAATGAAAAATACTGTTTAGTGAAGATGGTGAAGAACAGCAAAGAGGGTAATCAGCTGGGAAAAAACTTGGTAAGACTATATCTCGGACATAAATTTGGTCCATTCATTGATCAGTGACGTAGGATCGTTTTTGAAGGGGGGGGGGGCAACCAGATAGAAAAAAAAATAACTAACCTAAAAAAGTTCACAAGCAAAAAAAAAAAAATTAAATAAATGAAAACAAAAACTCGTCGGAAAATCCTATATCGTTGGGGTGAGAGTGGGGGTAGAGGCAAACCTTTTTTCCAATGCCAACTTCTTCCAGTTCGAATTTTTTTCCATACAACACTACATTTCCTCTATATCACTTTACTATAGTAACGAATGGGGGATCAGACCCCCCCCCCCTTCCCCGTTGCTAAGTGCCTGCTGATCTATATAGAATGTCAGAGTACAAGTAGCTTACATTAAAAATTATTCATTATTTTTGGACGTGAAAAACATATGGCTATGCATGATAATACGGTATTGAAATTATATTTTACACTCTATATCATGAAAAACTTTCACCTAGATTTCTGTTCTATAAAAAATTCCACATCCATCGATATGTACCTGGGTTCACATTTAATTGGAGAAGAAGTAATAGAAATATATTTTAAAAATCCGGAAATTAAAAATATATACCGGTATATACTTGTGTGTGAAATGAAAAGTTGAAAATGTTAGAAATGCTGCTCAAAAAAAGTAATTCAACGTTACAAGACTAAACGTTGCGTAACGTCGCGCCAAACTAATACGGGACATTTCTTTGGACATTGTAAAATCTTGGTAATTTTCAAACTGATTCGGGTTAAAGTTCAATTTTGTACTATCTCTATAGTAAATTTTATGTACTTTTTGCTGGTTACACTTATATTTAAATTTAATTTTATATATAAGTCGTAATTATAAGACAAAATGACAGAATTGCTCAAAAGGGTTAATATTTTTAGGATTGGGACATTTCACTGGACACATAGAAAATCAACGTGCTTTAAAAATCTTGTCAGAATTATATAATTTTTGAATACACTGTGATCCGTTGTAAATGTACTTTATAACTGTACCAAAAATATTTTACTTACCCTTGCTTTAGCCATTTTATTGGCGATTTAATCTTCTAGTTGTTAAAGATGAACAAAACGGGACACCACGGACTTCGCCATTTTCAAGGTCGTAATTTCAGTTTCACCAACTGGACGTTTGAATTGATTATGACGTCATTTTTTAATTTAGATGACATAATAAATTATCAATTTTCATGCTTCTTGGCGCAAAATTAATCATGAAATTATTATTTTTATGAAGCGCATGATGATTTTTTGTAACGCTGGGACATCATAAAATGACGACGTAACTGTTCATTTAGCGCTAATTTTATCTATAAAAATTGTCTGAAAATATATTTTAAATATGCTGTGATCATTATTTGTAAAATTCCCTTTCTAATGATATGTAACACTCAATATTTTTGCAAATAACCACTGCTGTTAACTTTATTAAATTATCCTCTGACGCATATTTGTAAAAGTAACACCAGTATTGTGCGCGACGTCGGGCATCACGCGACATCGTAGCTAACGTAAACAACGGCAGCTGATGCAGAAGCACCGCATCAATTTTCGTCTAGCGATCGCTTCACAGTCATTGTCATTTGAAACTGAATGTATACGTATTGTAAGCAACATATTTTATTCTAAAAAAGAACATTTTCTTTAATAATTGGTGTTTATTTACCTTAAATGAACTGCAATATTACAACATGCACCATGTAAAACGTGCGGAGATAGAGTGTTTATGTTACGCTAACTATCTATCATCTTCTTACAATTTAAGCATAAAATATTTGTGAAAATCAAAACAAAAGAAGGTTTAAGCATAAAAACACTCATTTACATTTTATTTTTTACTTTGATGATTTTTTAAAAATTAATTTCTTTTATAACTATACCACTAACGCGGGCGGATCCAACTGAGAATATTGAGAAGTACTGAATGAATAAAAGTCCATAAAACATCTGTAAATAGACCAATATATTTTTAAAAAAAATTATTTTAACATAACGTTTTTAGCTATTTTATTGAGACAACTTTAAATATGTTTTAATTAATTAAATATTAACTATGTGTAATATTATAGAATGATTTAAAAATATGTTGCATGTGTATATCAATATCAAAATTGCAACTTCAAAGTAAATAATTATACAAATTTATTTAAACAGTAGTTTTTAAAAAATAATTTTAATCAAACAAAAAAAATTGTCTGTGTCATGTGCACTGTGTGTGTAAAATTCTGCTTAACTTTTAAAATCATTTTAAAATAAGGTTAACAATGCTATTTACAATTTTTGGGACTTTTAAAGCTGTACAAGATTTAGACTGTGTATTGACATTGAGAGTACTTCAACAGTTATAGCTTCTGACTAGTGATGCAAAGTCTCTGATTCAATACCTGGTTATCTAATAATAAATTTCATCATTAACATTTATTAAAACATAAAAAAATGTTAGTTTGCCAGATATGATACAAGAATCCAAATACATGTACATGTATTGAAGACCTTTCCTTTGTTTAGGACTTCATTTTGTTGATATGATATTTCATCCATCACTTGTATATATTTTTGTAACAATACAATCCGACTTCCCTGTCTCTATTTCATGCACATCTAACAAGAAGTCTGTGAGCCAATGCTCACCAATCAAACCCCTGCTCTGATGTGAATATACAATATTATATTAATAAACTGAAGTTACAGTTACAGGCAGATGCACTGATCAATAGGAAGTTGACATCCGATTCATAGAAAAATGAAATCCAACCAAATGGCATGCCTCAGCAAAGAATGTGCTAAACTTTCAAGCATCTGTGATGAGTAGTTGCTGAGAAAACTGCAACCAAAAATTTGTTTTGGACAGACAGACTGACTGGCACACACAGGTAAAACAGTATTCCCTCTCTCCTTTGGATGGGGTATAAAAATAGAATTTATACATCCTATGTTTATTTTCATTACTTATACATACACTGTATATGAAATCTCAGTGATTGTATAGCTGCGGAAATATATAATTCAATTGAGAGAAAGGTCACAGAAGTACTGTAGACAAAATATCTGGCTTCTATTCCTCATGAAAAAATTTAAGCAGGTATCCTACTCTTTCTTAAGCATATTCATTTTGAATATAGTCAAACTATCCTTATGATTGAAGAAAAAAAAAAAAACTAGGAAAAATAATATAGTATCTTTATCAATTAGTCCGACAATAAGTGAAAAAATTGCATTCAGCAGAAAAAAAAAAAAAAGAATTCCTAAATTTCCTTTTTGTATGATCATTGTACAACAATCCCCTACTCTCCCCCTCCCCTAAAAAACTGTGTATGAAAAAAAAATTACAAATTTAGTAAAATTAGATTCTTTGATTCACTCGTCAATGGATCACTGTATAATGTTTAGCAATTTATGAAGCAGACATGAAAGAAACCATACGTGGATTTGGGTGTTACCATGTACCCCTCAATATATTAAATCCCATGGATACAATATATACACATCACACAATACAATAAGCTTATCTATACAGTTGTCGTGTCCCTCCACTTATTAATATGAACATTGTTTTTGTTTGTCAAAACATTAGTTTTCAGTTGATCCCGGCCCTCTTCCTTCATCACCCTGAAATTTCTTCAACAGACCTGGCAGCTAGATCTAGGGCTCAATTTTAAAATGTGGGTAAATCACATTCATATATATAGCACATGACATCCCAAGGATCAAGTGCTAAAGAGAGTCAAGTATTCTCAATTGAAAACAATTTTACATACATGTACAAATTTATTATGATTATTACATGTATTTTTACAAGCTGAAATAAAAATACAAGTTTTAATATCATGTCAATTTTTTTTTCTTTCCTTTTAAATAGTGATATTGTAACAACTTTGAAAAAAAAACATTCATTTGATTTTTCTGAGTATACATGCAAATATATGCAAAGACATTGCATATAATAAAGTAAGTACGATAGGTATTTGCATTGTATTTCAAATAGTTGTAATATAACATGTATAATCTGTTCAAGAAATATGTCAGTCTGCAAACATCTTGGTCAAATTTGTAAAATTAAAATATCCATGGGAAATGTAAATCCTTAATATTTAGTTGAAGCTAAGGCCATTCCAAGTTTTTTATCTCTTTAGTGTCCGTCCATCTTTCAAAAACCTAGCTACCTATTCGCTAAAAACACACAGGTACAAAAAAAATAAAACACATATTTTATAGTAATATAAATGATGCAATTCAAAAGATATGATTTCATATATCTATTTTTCATAAAGAAAGTTATTTTCTTCAGCAAAATCAAGGCATTAAATACTAAAATTATTCCAATGATGATATACATGTATTATTCAAATATTCAGAGATATTGCTGGAAATCAAAAATTTTGACCTGAATAATCAATTTTCGAACTCCCAATTCTGTTTGTTTTTTCTGACATGGGGTGTCAAAAACCAAGGCGCACGCAGACACTAAACATAAAAAAAATTGGAATGGCCTAATCAGTATTTTGATGTTAATAAGTGTACTTTATCTTTCAACAAAAATATGTACATGAGCGGTATTCTAAAGTTCATAAAAAATGTCCTAGCAAATTCAAAAGGACAATGTTAAGCCCTCTCTCTTTCAGTTTCTATCACAAAATAGACTGTATATGATTTCTCTACATTTAATCAAGATGAGATAAAATCCATGCGTGGATATCGTGACTTTTGATTATTGTTATCCCATACGAGTCCAACAGCTACATGGTAGGGCTGCCACAGTCTGGATTTGAATTGAGGATTCTTCAAAATCTGTAATGAGGAGATTATACATTTCAAAGGAGTAGGACCAATATTCTTCAGAGTTTAATATCTATGATTTTATCAGACAGAAATCTGTTATAACAGAAAATAGCACAAAGACTATCATTTATGATAATTAATAATTAAGTATAATTTTATAAAATGATTATAATAATAAATATAAATGCATTTTGAATCTACAAGTGGTTTCAAATCATTAGAAATAGCCTTGATTTATTAAACAGTTTCAAAAACCTGCAGCACATTTCACACATTTCTCGACATCTTTCTCAAGATGAGTCATTCAATCATTCAATATAACTGCATTTCAAAGCAAAAATTGCAATAAAGCTAAACAACTTGATCTCCTTTAAATATGAAATATGTAGAGTTAAAACTTACTTGAGGCATATACTGTTTATATTGCCATGCAGTGTTGAAAGAGCACTCTTCTGAAAAAATAGATAGGTACATGTAATCATGTATAATTATAAAAATTTGATAATTTCCTAACGAAATATCTTTGATAATTTTTAAAATCATTGCTGTTAAGTACGATTCATATATTGTAAATATTCATTTCTAAAACTAAATATTTACCAAATAAAGATTTGCTTTGCAAATTTGAGGAAGATCTTAGCATATTACAAATTATTTATGTTTGTAATTTGGTGGTATTATGTCACAATGCTACTATATTTATCTACTTTTTGATCCAATTTCATTGGCTTTTTATAACAGATGGAACAAAAAATGCATCATTTTTATTTTCAAACCTTTAAATTCCTTTTTTTTTTTAATTTGAATACATGTATTTACACAGGGATTCACTTTAATTTCAAAACTAATTTGTTTAATATTCAAATAACATAGTTTGAAAGCACAATGACATGTACGTCCTGCTACTTACTTCATGTACTTACTTCGGCCCGTCGTTCTATGAGGAACATAGGCCATCGACGACAGTCCTCCAACGAACTCGATTTGGAGCTGCTTTAGCTGCATCCTGCCTTGTCATATCCTGTGTTTTTAACTCTGACTCCGAGTCAAGCCTCCAGGTGTTTCTAGGACATCCTCTCTTCTACAATAATATTAAATTGTGTAAAATTGCACAATTTTGCATCATATGCATGCACCATGGATATTTTTTCTGGAATAACTATACATGAATCAATATTAAAATCCTTTTGGTTTCCTTTTATTTATTTTGTTTATTTATTTTATTTCTCCTTGTTTAATTGACTGAACATGAATTTGAGGATAGTCATACCTTATTTTATGCATGTAAAATATTTGCTATATTTATGTACAGTGTATTTTAAAATATATCTATATATCACTCAATTTTAAATTTTTCTGCAAATAGCTATAGCCATATAATAAAAGTATTCAAAATTGCAGTGATGAAAAAAAATATTTTCATGGGAAAAATACTTTTTTCAAGGTGTCTTTATATCTTTCATATTTCTTGACAACCTTGTACATGCAAGAGTTTCTGTATAAACAATGTCAATACTAAACCATGAATGACTAGTATTAAATTAGTAAAGTACAGTGAAGGTGTAATGAATCAATGACTCTTAATTTATATGTATAACAAACAAAATATAATATATTCATATTATATTAATGATATTAATTCAAAATAATGTTCAATCTTGGATATTGTTCATTAGAACTCATCTTATACCGATGTATTATATTTTTTCGATATCTCACCCCCTTTGGCCGATTTCAAAGCTCTATAAAAAATTGAAATTTTGTCTCAGTCCTTCGAAAAAAAAATTGCCTAGCATCCAAATCATCTCCACCTAAGACCACAAAAATTACAGTACTGAAATATAACGCATATAGCCAGGGCAATGCAAAACATGACCGACCTCCTAAGTACAGGAAGCGTTTCATTCGGCCACGTGGTTTTGACAACCTTGAGTAAATATGCAACTTACGTCATTAAAGTGGAAATCAAAGATAAAATACTTGTATATGGTCAAAAAACATTACCTTGGGGTCTCTTCTGCACACCTAGGTACACTTGTTACGACGCAGGTAAATTATACGCGGCGATTATATTCGCTGCATCGTCAGCTGCGGAGCTCGATTCGGCCATTGTTTTTGTGACGTCAGCCCCCAATGTTTGCCCCCAGTCCAAGATGGCGGCCAATAACCTTGATAGGGATTCCTGTCAGTTCAAAAAATCTCATTATCATATTGCTAAAATAGGCTAAAAAAAAAATCTTAAGCCTAGAGAATTTAGTTCAATGTCTTGGCTTTCTGTTGAACGTTAGACATTACCTTAGGTCCTAGTATATCCCGAAACAGTCCAAATACGAGCGCTTATTATCGAACGCCCCGTCGTAAACAAAAATATTGTGATGGGATTGGGCCATAAAATGTCAACAGCTGTGTCAACCTCTGTATGAAGAGTAGTGGCAGATAGCTTAGGTAGAATGTGTTCATTTTCATACAAAAATTAAAATTTCTAAAGAATAATTTAGACTTATTCACCTCATTACAAAACATAACAGTAAACACATGCTGGTTTTAATCAATATCATAACCTGATAACGTTAGTAGCTAGGGGGTGACAGGCGCTTTCATGCAGTAGTAACAGTACACTAGCTTTCTACTAATTGATATTAGATACCTGTAATTATTACTGTTTGTGCTAAAACATGTATGTATATACCTATTATATATATTTTTTAAAGGAATTAATACAGTTTTATTTTTTTCCTAAAAATTCAAGGTCCTTACATCCAGTCATACATGCCAACTTTTGAAAATTCCCATGGGGGATTTAGCGCGTGACGACAATTTTCAAAGCTTTAAATTCGCGACATTTTGTCGTGAAATTAAATGATTATGAAATTATCTTCTTTTGAAAATTTATAATATTGATATCACTTATCAATAAGAATAAAACTTAAGGATTAATTTAACACAAAAAATAATGTTTTTCTTTCCAAAATTGAAATATTTTTGCTTAAATAGATGCCTCTCTCACTCAAGAAGGGGTATTTAGTTACATTTGTAAACAACATTTTTTTTTTCTACCAGAATACAATTAAGTGAAAAAATTGAAAATTGTACAACTTTTAAATCATTTTTTTTCAAAGGCTAAAAATATATGAGGTATTGATACTGTAAAGTCCTGTTTCTAGAAACATTTTTGAGATTTTTAATTTGTATTTCAATTAATTAGAAATTCTAGTAAGATATTGAATTTACAGAAATTTATACCACGTATCCAAAATAGAATTATTTTTTTACAGTCATGAAATTTGTCAGGCTTGATGGTGCCATGTGGGTATTTCCTTAAGTCAAGCACATACCTAACATATTACTTTTGGGAGAAGGGAGGGAAAAGAAATTCTAATTGACATACACTTGATTGTTTCATCTTAATTTTTAATAATATTTTAACTGGCAAACTTTACAATATCATTTTTCATTATAAGTAGATAAATTCAGCAGCTAGGCTTTATTAGTTTTCTACTTTCGTTTTCAAAAAACGATCTCTTTGGATTCCGATTTTATGGTTTGATTTGCATTTTATTGTCTTTAATTTATGTTTTTAATAAAATGACTAACAATTATCCTATTAATCTATGTGTTTCACCTTGCATACCCTTTAAAATTGACAAGATAATCCCCTAATTGCCCCAAGCTATAGGCTTCTTGCACCAGTGGACAACTTCGTGCGTTCAAGCGTGAAGTGATTTCCTGTGGGTAATTAACACCATGAAACTTATCTGTGTGCATTGAATAAACAAGTCTGACATTGTTACCCCAATTGTCAAAATTCAGCAGTAGGGAAACTTTTAAAATCGGAAGTTTTGGTGATTTTTTTTTTCAAATCGGGAAATAAGGGCAATTTTGCTTTCCCGATCGGGATAGCGGGATGAAAGGGTAAAATCGGGAGGATCCCGCCTAAATCGGGAAAGTTGGCATGTATGCATCCTGGATAAACTCACTATATCTGTGTGTAATTCTTATTTTATATTTCAGCAGATTTTTTGTTTCATACGTTTAACAATTATACCACCAATATCATGGACATGCTAGGAAGAAGTACACAGTGTTGTAGAGTACTACAGTGTTTTCAATGTGCGGGAGACACGGAATACTACTGCAACACGTGTAAACATGACCTGTGTCTACAGTGCAAAAAGGAACATGATACAAACTCCCATACAAAGTTTCATAAAGTGGTGTTATATAGGACACAATATTACAAGAAAGGCTTTTCTTCGTGCTGTAGAGTACGACAGTGTTTTCAATGTCAGGGAGACACAGAATTCTACTGTAACACGTGTAAACATGACCTGTGTCTACAGTGTAAAGAGGAACATGCTATCAATTTAAATACCATAGATCACGACCTTGTGATTTACCAAGAGAGGTATGAAAATATCCCCAAACAAGAGACCTGTGTGAGACATCCAGATAGAATGTATGAAATGTACTGTTCATCATGTGAACTACCTGTCTGTGTTCAATGTGAAGAACACAGAAAACACAGAGTACTGGACATCAGACAGTCATATAATACTAACCGTCAACAACACAGAGAAATCATTCATAACATTAGAAGTTATAATATCTATAAAATGTGTTTTCTTCTGAATGGAATCAAATTCGCTAGAAAAAATTGTTCTGTGGAAATCTCCAACAGTCAGGTAGAAATGTCAATGAAAGCCCAGAGACTAAAGAACCTTATAGATGCTGTGATATGTGGTGTTAAAATCAAACAGAAATCTTTGATGATACATAGATTAAATCAACAGCATAATATAATGAAAAGACACCTTGCCAGCATAGAGAACTGTGATCACAGATTTGAAGGATTGGCAAAAACACCAGTAAAATTCCTCTCATTTCTGAAGAAAACACGTGCACATGCCATTAAGATAAAGGGTACCCCAAATCTTACACAACACTCCTTGCTCTCCGTGGCTGAAGAAATCAACTTGGAAGATGTGATTAGGTTACTAAGTGAAACTCAAATTATAGAGTCTGCAAGAAAAATTCCGAAAAATGAAGATCTGCTGTACCTGTTGTCTAGCTCCATGTTACGTAGATCTGTCACAGTGAAAGGTGTTGAACGCGTAACACACATATCCCATGTGACATCAGACAAGGTCTGGGTCAGTAATATGGACAATATCATGTTAATAAACACAGAAGGTGATGTACTGTATCATTTGACAAGTTTTAATGTTTCAGAGCTATTGTGCGTACATACCGTGAAATTGACTGGTGAACTTATATTTATAGACTGGTATGGTAACATAAACACATTATCAAAAGATAACAAAATACAGTCTACACTGATAGAAAAAACAGAAATATGGGAAGCACGTTGTGTTTTCTGTTCCCCTTCCAATGGAGATTTGCTGGTCGTGATGTATAGAGATGATCCTATAGAAATGGCCAATGTAACACGTTACAACGACAGAGGACAGCTTACCCAGACAGTACAAAATAATAACAGAGGGCAGAGACTGTATCGTAGACCTATGTTCATCACAGAGAACCGTAATAGAGATGTTATTGTGTCTGATGATGACCGTGTAGTGGTGACAGAGCCTGGAGGAAGACATCGGTTCTCCTACACAGGTCCTCCTGTAGGATTTGTAGGACTGGCACCTCTAGGTATCTGTACAGACGTGATGTCACACATTCTGGTGTGTGATGATAACACCAGCTCAGTGCATATGATTGACAAAGATGGCCACTTTTTGTCACTGATATTGACACAAGAACAAGGTATAGCCAGACCAGTGTCCCTGAGTTATGATGACAAAACTCACCTACTCTGGGTAGGAAGTGGCGAAATAACAGAATATGTGTATACAGATACATTGGGAGAAAGGGGATTTAATCTGACAGCAAGGTAACTTAAATTGGTTAATAATAAGATACATGTACACACATGGTCATGAAATGGGGCATTGAAATTTGTCAACTGGTTACTTGTACACAAGATTTTGTATTCTCTTTGCAGGGCAGTTGTTAAAGCGTTTGCTGTAGGGTCTGGAAGTAAGGAGTTGATCCTTTTACTGCACATTCAAATCCCACTGCAGGCATGAGGAACGATCCTTTGGATGATATCATACTTGCATATGTATAAACCCCGTGTGGCAGCAGGTGCCGACATGAAAAAGATCCTCATTGCTCAAAGGTTCTGAGTGCCGAGAAGGGGTCTACCCACTAGTGCAAAGATTCACTAGTCCAACAACCAACTAGTCCGAAGGTTCACAAGTCCGACGGCCCACTAATCCGAAGGCCCACTGCGATTGACAAAAAAATGTCACAAATTTTATATTTACATATCATAACAAGGAGCCATAAATATATCGTTTTATGGAATATATAAGAAGAGGAAAATCTTCAGTTTGTTGATTACCCTAATGGAATATGATTATAGGTTGAGTTCGTCCAGTTATACATCGATATGTAATTGTCTGTTATTTGTTGAGGAATATGCTAAGAAATCACATCCAGTTTCCACAGCGATGAAGCCTATTAATGTGTAATTGATGCAAATCATCCATATTCTCTAGGAAAACTAGAGGTACTATAAGCAATGAGCTCACTCCGATATGGTTATAATGGCAAAGTCCATGTTTTGCTGTGGCCGTGAAACCCAAAATATGTGTCGAATCAAAAAGTAAAATAGGAGGTGGTTAAAAGCTATATGTAATAAAGATTCTGTGAAAGTTTCATTAAATTTCACTCAGTAGTATTAGAGGAGTTGAGGATAAGAGATGGGTACCCCAAAGCGTAACAGACAGAAAATTTATTTTGCCAGAAACCAACTAGAGGTACTGTGAGCAATGAGCTCACTAAATGATACCCCGCCTCCCATGTGGTTATAATAACAAAGTCCATGTTTTGCTGTGTCCGGGAAACCAAAAATATGTGTCGGATCAAAAAGTAAAATAGAAGGTGCACAATGGCAATATATAATAAAGTTTCTGTGAAAGTTTCATTAAATTTCACTCAGTAGTATAAGAGGCGGTGCGGATAAGAGATGGGTACCCCAAAGCGTAACAGACGGACGGAGGTACAGACAGCTAGACGGACTAAATATTGATATTGTGACCATCTATTTTAATTTTTGATCCGACACATATTTTGGGATTCCCGGCCACAGCAAAACATTGACTTTGCCATTATAACCATATGGAAAGCGGGGGTATCATTTCGTGAGCTCATTTCTCACAGTACCGCTAGTTTCTTTTGAAATATGTTTGGAATGTGCTGTCTGATTGGACAGAAGAATAAATACTTGTACATCGTTTATTTATAGCAACTTTCATTTATCGTTATTGACTTCCATATTTGGAAATCGTTCAGACCTGAAAAAAGAAATTAAACTACTTTGACCCTGACTTTTGAAGAAAAAACCCTAGATTTGGATTAGTGAATTTATGGCATTTTTTTTTACACAAATAATAATGCAAACGTTTTTGATTTAACGAGACTTAGTCTATTTCGAGTGCGCATGACTTTGCGCAGCTTTTTAGGTCACCTGAGTAAACTCAGGTGACCTATTGCTATCTGTTTTCGTCCGTCGTCGTTCGTTGCGTCGTGCGTTATAACATTTGAACATTTTTAGCTTCTTCTCTGAAACCACTGAACCAATTTCAACCAAATTTGGAATAAAGCATCTATGGGTAAAGGAGAACAAAAATTGTGAATTTCATAGTCCCTGGGGCCTGGGGGGTGGGGCAAAAACCACTAAAATTAGTGCAATCTTTAAAAGTCTTCTTCTTTACTCCTGGACATCAAGCAGTTAAACTGTTGGTATGATTGTAATCAGCATTGGGTCCTCTGCCAAACTTGTGAAATTCATGGCCCCAGGGTCAGGGGTTCTACTGCTAGGGCGGGGCTGAACAGGTTATATAGTGAAAATGCATTATTTTTTTGAAATTCTTCTTCTCTGTTTGTGGGCATTAAATAAACTAACCAAGTGCATAGGTAAGTTGAAAATGATGGCCTTTTCCAAAATTGTGAATTTCATGGCCCCAGGGTCAGGGGTTCTAGTGCTAGGGCGGGGCTATATAGATTATAGTGAAAATGCATAAATTCTTTGAAATTCTTCTTTTCTGTTTGTGGGCATTAAATAAACTAACCAAGTGCATGGCCATGTTGAAAAAGGCTGCCTCTTCCAAAATTGTGAAATTCATAGCCCCAGGGTCAGGGGTTCTAGACTAGGGCGGGGCTATATAGATTATATAGTGAAAATGCAAAAATTCTTTTAAATTCTTCTTCTCTGTTCATGGGCATTAAATAAACTAACCAAGTGCATGGCTATGTTGAATAAGGCTGCCTCTTCCAAAATTGTGAAATTCATAGCCCCAGGGTCTGGGGTTCTAGACTAGGGGGGGGGGGGGGGGGGGGGGGGCTATATAGATTATATAGTGAAAATGAAAAAATTCTTTAAAATTCTTCTTATCTGCTGATGGGCATTAAATAAACTAACCAAGTACATTGTTATATTGAATAAGGCTACCTCTTCCAAAATTGTGAATTTCATGGCCCCTGGGTTGGGGGTTCTGGTGTTAGGGTGGGGCTTTATTGATTATATAGTGAAAATGCATAAATTCTTTAAAACTATTCTTTTCTGCACCTGAGTATTTAACCAATGAGCTATGTACATAGTTATGAGGAGGAAGGATGTTTCTTTGAGATTTTTGAATTTCAGGGTCCCTGGGTTAGAGATTCTTATGTGAAGGGGGGGGGGGGGGGCTCAAAAGTTTATATAGTGAAAATGCTTGAATTCTTTGAACATCTTTTCCTTTGTTATTGGGTATAGTTCCAATGATCTTAGTATATATTTATGAAAAAAAAAAACTGCTTCTTCCAAATATTGTTAATTTCCTGTCCCCTGGGACAGAGGTACTTGGGGGGGGGGTAACACAGTCTGAAATAATTTAATGCTTTGAAGTCTGCACTTTGGTATTAATCAACAGCATGATGAAATAAAATTTTTAAAAATTTCCAAAATTTTGAAAGATGTGGCCCCAGGGTCAGTGGTTCCTGTGGTATGGGGAGCTCAACTGTGGACCCGCCCTAACACAAGAAGCCCTGACCCAGGGGCTCTGAAATCCACTAAAAGTGGAAATGCATTTTCTCTTTGTTACTCTGATCTACCTCTGGTTCTGATCTACCTCTGGATATTAAGTAAATAGCGTAAGCATGCCAAGTTTATAATTATGAAAAGCAATGGTGCCTCTTTTAAAATTGTGAATTTCATGGCCTCTGGTTTAAAACACAAGCCAAATTCAATTGTTGGAAAGTTGTTTCACGATACTCAGGTGACCTATAAGGCCCGCGGGCCTCTTGTTTATTTTATGCTGGCGAATCGAGAAAATCTTGGTTCCGGACACCAGCTACTACTGGCAATAAAAATCACTTTCTAGAAATAAAATTTATAAGAAGCGATTGGATTGCATTATACCCCAAAAGTGCTGAATATCGAAACATTACATGTAAAAGGTTGTTTACACTGTGTTTTTCGTGTACTCACATTCGAATGATTCATTAATTACCTACCCCAGCAGGCATTTCAACGTTGATTCAACGTTGAATCAACGTTGCACTTCAACGTTGAATTTTGGTTGCATATGAAAGTTGAGTCAACGTTGAGATGTAACGTTGTTTCAACGTCAATTTTCAACGTTGAATAAACGTTGAAAATTGGTTAGATTTTTTGTTGATTTATGGTTGATTTTTGGTTGCAAATGAAAGTTGAGGCAACGTTGAAGCTTCAACGTTGTTTCAACGTCAAATATCAACATTGAACAAAAGTGAACATTGGTTGAAATTAGGTTGAGATTTGGTTGAAATTTTCGGTTGTACAAACGTTGATACTTGGTTGAAATCACGTTGAATTCATATTACATTTTGCTTTAAAAACAAATACATTTCAAATTCTAATAAATATAATTTATTCAAGTTGCGAAATATTTAGATAAGTTGTAATCCAGTATTATGATTGTGAGAGAATTTATTTTACATGTATTTTTTATACAAACACAAAATTCGGATTCAATCACTGAATCTCAAAAATCACTGCTTGACAAAATTTATATTCCTAGTGAAAAGAGGGTCACAGTAATCACACCCAGGTCCTTCAAAGTACGCGTCTGCCTTACACTACTAAGTTCCACAAAGTGGCGGATCCATTGATTTTAATCACGCATATAGTTAAGTCCCACGAATGAAAGAAATGAAAAGGAGAATCCACCCTCTAAAGCAAAAGCCTATTGATAAAAGAAATAAAGATGTTAAAGCCATTTGTTCGATAAAATGTACGTAACACGTTATTTCAAACGATAAAAATAAATATACATGGATGATTTCAAAAATCAGACAAAGGAATATATTCCGGTACTTGGATTTAATTAACATGATTAAAAGAATTATAGTTGACTTCATGTTAAAATTCGTATGAGTATGCTTATAAATAATTATTACTAAAGAAAAATGTTATAGACATACATATACATAGTGTACTTACAAAATGTTGCATTCCTTTGTATAATTTTCACGGGCGAAGAATCTGATGCAATCAAGGCTGACTATACAATCCCCGCCACACTGGTTGATTTAACCTTACGACGAACTACAATTAGTTAAATTGTATAATATATTAGTATACTAGCTTATATTTCATAACCAAATGAATATCAACAAAACACATAATACAAGAACCAAGGTTGTGCATTTCACGCAGATTTCAAATATACAATATGTACTTATAAAACAAGAATTAAATGATGACCAAATACTAAAAAAACTTAATTTCTTAAACATGTTAAATTCATGAAAAGGAAATAATACTTACTGAGCAGAAGTTGATATTCCAGCCTTTATCCTTGTGTATAATAGCTTAAAAACACATTAAATATGAACAGCAAGGAGACGCGCACTTCTTGTCCATCAGTTGAATTCAAATTTTGACCTAGATAAGCTGCAAACAGCTATACTCTGCCCAGCAAGAAAATTGCATAACAAGGTTATCCTGACACTGAAACTGACCAACTAAGCGAGAGGCACTCCTTATCTGATTTCTCGAAGG